CCAGACAGGCGTCTAACATTTGTCCCTACATTCAAAGGGATTCCAGGGAATCACAGCAATAGCACATTACCACAGCACTTCCTTGGGCTCCATTCCCATCCACCCCTTTGCCAGCACAAACTGTTGGCTTCTAAAATGGACCGAATTCACCACCTTTTGCAATTCATTGTTTGTGACCTTCAGTGAACGGGGGTCACTGAGCTGGGTGTGAGCTCCCACCCACAGCCCAGTGCCCTCGGCGTCAGAGCTCATCTTCCCGAGCCGATCAGAAACCCTCCCTTGGAGAATCAAACTCTCAACTTACGGTTGATGAAATCCCACCAAATTCCCCCAGAATGTTTCCTTCTTTAACGCTTGAACCCGAAAGCTGCTTGCTGGGAAAGAGGCACTGTATTTTCTGAGCTACACCAGGGCAGCTCTGCCCATCTTCTGCCCTTTGCTTGTTGAGCTGCTGAGGTTGAGCTGGGGGTAAGAGCGGAGCAAGCTCCTCCTTGGGCAGGAAGAGCTGACATTCAGGGAAAACTGCCACAATGAGTTAGAGTACCTGAGAGCGCCAAGTATTTATTAAGTAAGAATTTAAACACTTTTTCATCGTTTTATAAAGCCTTTCATCCAAAGTGCTTCACTGCATTTAAAGGATTAAACCTTGCCACTCCCCTCGAGGTGGGTTGGCATCGCGCTGCTCTAATTGCACGGGCGGCAAAGTTGCTCCGTCACACACCGTACGGCTCCAAAAGGAGCCTTGGTTTTCTTTCTCCTCCTCCACAGAAACACGTATGAAAACAGATTTCCTTTGAATTTGGTTTTTTTCAAAGGGATTTAGGCAAATGCAACACATCAAAATGGGCTGGGATAGCGGCAGTTTTAGGAAGGAGGGGGCTTTGCGAGGCAGCTGCAATGGTCTGTGCCAGCAGCCCCCGGGTGGTGAAGCACAGAGCAGCAGAGGTACCAGAATTCATCGGACTGCAGGAGAAGGCAGCTTTCCCCCAAAAAACCCCAGGGGGATGCTTTATTGCCTGCACCCAAGCATAGTCTGCACCTCTTGTCTTAGTTCGTATCATCGGGCTGTGGAGGCAATTGCCTCTCACCTCACTATTAAGGACAACAAAAAAGGAAAACTAACACACTTAAATTCCTTTCACTTTTAATCTTCTTTCGGAGTAGGTCCTGTCACACTGCTCTGCGCTCTCGAATACAGCTTTTTGGTCCTTATCCTGCACTTAAATCCAGGGGAAAGCCTCTACAGTTACTCCTGACAAAAGATTTTCTCTCCTTGTAATCCGGCTCTCCAGTGCCAGAGAAATAAACTCCCAGGGTTATCTGGAAAGTCTCTTCTTCCCACTCTCCTCCAGTTTCCCCACGCGTTTTGCAGCCTGATGTTTTGCAAAGGCTTTGCCACTAGATCCTTGCTCTCCGCGTCACACGTGGTGTTACACCCCAGCTCAGCTGCCTAATGGGCTCTTCCGGGTGCATTATCTTCCGTTTGCGAAGGAAGAAGTTGCTGAGCCCCCAGCCCTTGGCGCACACCTTACCTGCGATTGTGTAATGAGGAGCTGAATCGTGGCAGACCTTCGCCCTGAGGCTGCCAGCAGGCAAGTGTCCTCCTTCGCGCTACGTCTGGGGAACAGCAGCACCCCCTCCCGTGACTTCTTGCTGATTTAGCGCTCACCTAAACACGAGAATCTTTTTTTTCCACATCCAGGCACAACCGCGCCTCTCTTTAACTCTGCCTTTAGCGTACAGGAGGGTGATCACAAGAACGATGCTACCAAAAGCCTTTCCCTCTCCATCTCCACAAACAGGCCCCTATTGCTTATGTCACAGCTCTTTGCCACCTGCTGCAGCCTCCTCTAAACATGCCAGAATCGGGTTTTCTATGCGTTCGCAACTATAACAGTCACAGAATCCTCAGGGTCTGGCCGCCCTCTGCCCGCTGGCGAAGGTGAGGCGAGAGATCCAAGCAATGCGGTGGCAATCCAGCCTTACCTGACAGCGAAGCTGAGCTGGTAGGAGGATGGCTTGCTGAAGAGATGGAGAAGGTGGGAAACGTCTCTAAATGTAAGCTGAAGTAGGAGTGACGATCGACAAGTGCGAGGTCCTGGTGGGATATAAATACGCGGTTCGCGCTGCTCGGGAAAGAGCCTCGGAGCGGAGCGCATGGCTGACGGCATCTTGCTGGCTTTGGTGGCCCGGGGCTCTTCTCCCCAGGGTTTGGGGGACAGTCGGGCTCAGTGGAGCCCTTGCTGGGCGCAGCGATGCCAGCTCCAAGGCTGAAGCTGAACAAGCTCTTTGCTGCTGCCGGGCCGATGCCGTAGCTTGTTCCATCCCAGCTTCTCGCAGGATGCCACGGCCGACGGTCAGCACAGGGCAGTTGGTCACAGCAATGCGCTGGCTGGTGCCCAGCCGGGTGTCTGCAGAGGAACCAGAGGGATTTGAGCACAAAAGGAGGAAAGAAAATGACTATAAATGTCATTTCGAAGTTTGCTTTCTCTGGTCGGCATTTCAGGCCATTCCAGTTTGCCCCTCTCTCCCCATCCTTGCCAGCTCACGTGCTTCCCCTCGGTATTTCTGCTCCCAGAGCAATGTGCGAGTCACACAGGTTCTTCCCTCCCACCCTCTGCCTCTCCTTTAATCAGAGACAGGTCTCATTGGCGATGCGAGGCCATCGCTGGGCTCCACGGAAAGGGGATATCTGGGGTTGGGAAACCCCCCCGGCTCTGACCTGGGCTGGCTGCAGACCCAAGCAGGTACCACCGCAGCAGCTGCTCTTCCAAACCCAGACTTCTCCATGTAGACAAGGGGAGCAGATCCTGCCTTTTATATAAATTAAAACCCTATTTCTGTTCGGTCTGAGTCCAGGGAGAGGCTGCAGAAACGCACCCACTGGGCTGCTCTCATGGAATTTTCTTTTTCCCCTGGTACCCCCAACCTTGCCCTATGCCTTTGTTACTTATCACAGAACCCCAGCCAGGGCTGCACAGACAAGCTGAAACAATTTCACATTTAAGGGCAATTTTCTTTCAGCCTATATCCTTTAATTCTGGCAAAACCAGGCTTGGACTGAAAACTCCCGTGCTGGGGCACAAGCCAAGGGGGTGAGGAGGGGAAGCAGCCTTTTCACAGTGGGAATATTTGTAAAGCATTTGCTGACACCAGTAGGTAGCAAAATTCAAACCTATAAATACCCATCCAGGATAAGAAACATCAGAAAGGGAAGGTGTGCAGGATTCACCAAGGCAACCCTGATACCGCTTCGGAGCAGGTGCCCTTCTTGGCGCCCAGGAGACGATCCATTGCGTGGAAGCGTAGGGTCATTCCCCTCAACCCACTGCCATCACCACCGTCCACGCACCGGCTCCTCCTGGTTTGAAACCAAACTGGAAGAGCCGCGTTTCACGCACATCCGGAATCGCAGCTGGGCGCTTCTCTTTGCTGATCAATGTTTCTTTTTCTGCAGGATGATATGGTATATCTTATATACTTTCTTTGTATTTCTTGGCATGAGAAAAAAATTAAAATGTAACATGCATGGTCAAAGCTGAACTTGTTTCTTCTGTCTAAATGAGAAAAAAAACAATATCCAAACTCTCATTTTTAACTATTG